TGATTGGTTGGGGGGGGGGGCAAAATACTGTTTGCTTACCGTTGAAAATTACCTAGTCCGCCTCTGATTATATGGCAGTGTAGAAGGGGCTTCAGACAGAGGAAAATCTTCTGGTAGAACTGAGAGTTTTCCATTGTTTTTGTTTTACTTTTACCTGCATATTCCTAGATCTGTACACAGCCTTTTTCTTAAAATCTTGCAGAGTTTTCTAACTGTAGATCCTGTCAATATTGATTTCCACCAATTTCCACTGAACCTTCTTTATTATTATTTAAGAGTTATGGTTAAAGTTCTAAAGTACTTTAGCAATATTGCACTTCCTAAATAATTGGGTCAGTTTGTTTTGATTCCCCTTCCCTCATTTGATCTCTGTGTTCTGGAAATAATAGTTGTGAATTTCAACAGGGAGAAACGTAGGATAATACACTTAGTCAATATAAATGACCGGGACTGTGGCGCAGCTGGCTGGGAGTCAGCTACATTAAGATCACTACTTACCAAAAAGTCATGAGTTCAAAGCCAGCCCGGGGTTGGAGTGAACTTCCGACCAATTTGTGTAGCTTGCTGTCGACCTTTGCAGCCCGAAAGACAGTTGCATCTGTTAAGTAGGAAATTTAGGTACCGCTTATGTGGGGAGGCTAATTTACGATGCTATAAAAAATCTCCAGCAAGCATGCAAAGAATGAGGAAGTACTTCATCAGTGTCACAAATGGATGGTGAAACGACAGCTCCCCTGGTGGCCAGAATACCCTCATGAAAAAGCTGGAATGTTAAATAGCCTCTGTGTGTCTGTCTACATATGTTGTGTGTCTATGGCATTGAATGTTTGCCATGTATATGTACAGTGTAATGTGCCCTGAGTCCCCTGCGGGATGAAAAGGGCGGAATATAAATACTGTAAATAAATAAATAAATACATGCACAGATATGGGATGACACCTGGCTTGAAAACAACCTATGTGAAAAGGAGCTAGGTCTTAGGCCCTTCTACACTGCCATATAATCCAGATTATCAAAGCAGATTGTCCACATTATATGCTTTGAACTGGATTATATGAGTCTACACTGCCATATAATCCAGTTCAAAGCAGATAATATGGATTTTATATGGAAGTGTATAAGGGGTCTTAGTAGTCCACAAGCTGAACAGGCATCAACACTGTGAATGGGCAACTAAAAAAGGCAATCTGATTCTAGGCTGCATCAACAGGAGTTTAGTGTCTAGATCAGTGGTTCTCAACCTGTAGAGCTCCAGGTGTTTTGGCTTACAACTCCCAGAAATCCCAACCAGTTTACCAGCTGCTAGGATTTTGGGGAGCTGAAAGCCAAAACATCTGGGGACCCACAAGTTGAGAACCACTGGTCTAGATCAAAGGAAGCAATAATACTGATAAGGAATTTAGACCACAATACATTGAGAGGGAACGGCCTGGTGAACATTTATACCAACAATAAACAAAGTTCCAGATTTTAAAAAATCTCCCCAGTGAAGCAAAGACATAGGACAGAGGCATTTTATTTCATCTTAGCCAAGAAACAATGCTTGTGGGTCCTTGCTCCCAAATTACAAGCGTAAGAGAGCACGTGCTCTTCACAACACTTTTTATACAACCAGATCCATTGTTCCAGTTTTTACCACCCCTCTTTTGTTTCGTGTTGGCCAGAGAAAGAGACTGGGTAGGAGCTATGTCAGGATTGGTCCAGAGTGGAGACTGCAGTGCCGTGCATTTCCAGGCTGGGCCCTTCATAGATGGAGAGTCCACCACATTCTGAGGTAGCCTAATCCCAACAGGAAGTGTAGATGGGGGAATAAGGGAAAGAACATTCAGTGCCATCCCTTCTGTTTCACCTACTTATTAGACATATTTATTTATTTTCTTTCCTCTTTGTTCATTTCATTTTCTTTTTCATTATCATTAAGGTTTGGCTTGACGTTTGATGAGGTTCTGAAGACAGATTGGATTGTCTACATGGATCAACTGGCCTCCTTCATTGGTGTAAAACCTAGTGTGCCAGCTCTGCTTCTCAAAGATCCAGAAATAGCCACAAAGATATTCTTTGGGCCATGCTCTGCCTACCAATACCGTTTAACTGGGCCAGGGAAATGGGAAGGGGCCAGAAATGCAATCCTGACCCAGTGGGAGCGAACCTTGAAGCCCACAAGAACCCGAGTTGTAGAAGACACTTCAAGTTTCTCTACATATGTGCTTAAAGTGCTTGCCCTCTTTGCTGTATTTGCTGGTATTTACTTCAGTTTCAATTAGTTCTGGTGTATCCACAGGGCAGTTATCTGATATTAGAGTAAAAAACAATAGGGAAATGCAGTATATCTCATGAAATGGAATATGAATAGTCTTTTAAACCACTTCTTTCAATGGGAAACATCACATTCTGCTAATTCACTTATTTGAATGGGAAACTCATGATCAGTTAACAGAGGGCAAGCTGCTGATGACCTGCCCCTCTGATACTTATGGAGAAATTAAAGACAAATGATGATTATTATGATAATAATAATTCTATTTCTTACTTGCCTCCCCTTGTGGCTCGAGATGGGTTACAGCATAGTTAAAACACATAAGCTTTGTAAAAATTCTATAACTACACATATTAAAATGTATTTCTATAAAATATAATATTAAAACATATTTATATAAAATATATAATAATAAATATAATAAATATAATAAATATAATAAATATAATAATAATAATAATAATAATAATAATAATAACTTTATTTGTATATTTCTCCAACGGGACTCAGGACAGATTCCAGCATAACAATGACAAATATTCAATGGCTACATAAAACACATGATGCTAACATAAAACCCCAGAAAACCCCCACAATTAAAAGTAAGCCTATATATTAAAATGCACAAAACAGAGATTAAAACTCAGGACTCAAGTTTAATTCATGCTTAAAACTGGCTGGGTAGACCTGCTGGAAGAGATAGGTCTTTACATGGTTTTTAAATTCTGAAAGCTCATGTAGCTGTTGGAGCTCTTCTGGCAGGTCATTCCACAGTCTTGGGGCGGGCGATGTAAAGGTCCTCGGGTGACTGTCACCATTTGGGTTCTGTCTAGTTGGAATAAATGCTTCCTCAGAGGACTTCAGTGTCTGAAGGGGAGGATTGTATTGTGAGGCAATCTTTTATATAACCTGGACCCAAACCATGTAGGGCTCTAAAGATCATAACCAACACCTTGTACTTTGCCCAAAAACTAATTAGTAGCCAGGGGAATGACTTTAGTATATGTGTAATATGCTTACTCCTGGGTGTCACTGTAATCAATCTGGCTGGCATATTTTGAGCCAGCTGGAGTTTCCAAAATTTGTACAAAGATAGCCCAATGTACAGTCCAACCTTGAGCTTTCCAGCGTGTGCACTACCATCTTTAGGTCCTCCAAATCTAGAAAGGTGTGCAACTGATGTATCAGCTGAATTAGAGTCAATTCCCACTTGCCTTACAGAAGGTACTGTCTATAGATCCTATAGGTTAGCTACAAAATGAACCATGCCCCATTAAGCAAAGGGCATCATTTCACTGTGTGATGAGGTCCAGACTTGTGTTCAAAGGAATTCGACTTTATTGCCCCTATACATGCTCTTATCTGTATGTTGTACTTTGAATGTGTCAGTGTTGTCTACTGAGGATGAAAGTGCACATCAACTCTTTATAGTAGTTTCCTGTTGATTTTTTCAAGTAATAAAGAGCAAATTAAATTTGTCGGACAATTTAGCATTGCTGTATTGTTGACATGTGTCCAAATTGTTGTCTACTAAGATTCCTAAATACTAGGGCTGGGCGATTTCGTTCGTTAATTTTGTATTTCGTTAATTATTCGTATTTAAATTAGCTTACGATCCAATATCAAGCCATTTTGGAATAGTGTGAGGAGTAATTAAGAATCAATTTTTTCCCCAGTTTTTGTAATTATTTCGTAATTATTTCGTATTTCTGGTGCAAGTTTTACAATCTCTCCGTTTCTCTTCCCTCCCCGGTAGCAAGCTAGCAAGCGGCGCATTTGCCCCACTTCCAGTCTCTCCCCTCCTGCCAGCCACCTTTGCTCTGCTGCTTCCCTCCTCTTTCCTCATGCTGTCTTCCTGGGCAGCAGCTTCAAACTATTATTTATTACTATATATCAGGGGTCTTCAAACTTTTTAGGGGGGGGAGGGGGAGAGTGTCACAGCATGGGTAAGAGTCTTAATATAACAGCAGGAAATTCATGAATATGTTTAGTGTTTACTGATCAGCCGATCAGCCGAACTTTCAGGAATGTGGACTCAGAACACCCACCTTTCTACACAGCCATATATAACTCAGAATATCAAAGCAGAAAATCCCCCAATACATGCTTTAAACTGGATTATATGGCAGTGTGGTCTCAAATAACCCACCTTATAATGTAGTATAATAATATATAATATAATATAAATATTATATATTATAATATATTATAATATAATATATATATATATATAATATATTATAATATGCAATAATAATAATATAATATTACTGTATATTATATTATGTTATTATATATTATATTACTATATTATTATATTATATTATAATTGTATATATTATATTATATATATATATATATATATATATTATATATATATGTCCCAAGCCCACAGCATGTCCAAAAGCAGATTAAGTCAGAAGGAAACATCCAAAAACAATCCGAAGTAAGAATCCAGTCTTTAAACCGCTTTGAAACGGTTTAATGTAATATAATGTAATATAATAATATAATATAATATAATATACAATAATAATATACTATAATAATATTATATTATATTATTATAGTATATTATTATTGTATATTATATTATATTATATTATGTTATTATATATTATATTACTATATTATATTATATTATTATTGTATATTGTATTTGTATTATATTATGAAATTATTATATATTATATTATATATTATTATATAATATTATTATATTATATTATATTATTGTATATTATATTATATTATTATATTATTTTATATATTATAATATATTATACATATTATATTATATTATATATTATTATATTATTATTATAACAACAAAAATAGCTAGAAGCACTTAATTCAGTGTATCTACTTCTAGTATCAAGAACTAAAGTCTGTAGCAAATTGCTGTGCCAAAAACATAATTTAGCAAATAATCCAGATTATCCTGGTATATAATCTGGGATAAGAGCAGTTCAAGCAAACTGCTTCAGAATCACAGGGTTAGAAAACATTGGGTGGAAGCAAGGAAAAGTGTTCTCAAAAAACTGTCCCAAGCCCACAGCATGCCCAAAAGCAGAAGATTAAGTCAGAATGAAATGTCCATCCAAAAACAATCCGATGTAAGAATCCAGTCTTTAAACCGCTTTGAAACGGTTTAATGTAATATAATGTAATATAATAATAATATAATATAATATACAATAATAATATACTATAATAATATTATATTATATTATTATAGTATATTATTATTGTATATTATATTATATTATATTATGTTATTATATATTATATTACTATATTATATTATTATTGTATATTATATCATTATATTATATTATAATTGTATATATTATATTATAATATATATTATTATATTATATTATTATAATATTATTATTATATTATATTATATTATAATTGTATATTATATTATATATTATAATATATTATACATATTATATTATATTATATATTATTATATTATTATTATAACAACAAAAATAGCTAGAAGCACTTAATTCAGTGTATCTACTTCTAGTATCAAGAACTAAAGTCTGTAGCAAATTGCTGTGCCAAAAACATAATTTAGCAAATAATCCAGATTATCCTGGTATATAATCTGGGATAAGAGCAGTTCAAGCAAACTGCTTCAGAATCACAGGGTTAGAAAACATTGGGTGGAAGCAAGGAAAAGTGTTCTCAAAAAACTGTCCCAAGCCCACAGCATGCCCAAAAGCAGAAGATTAAGTCAGAATGAAATGTCCATCCAAAAACAATCCGATGTAAGAATCCAGTCTTTAAACCGCTTTGAAACGGCTTGTCTCAACCCAGCTAAAAGTCTTCCTTGGCCGCCTTAAAACTATTATATAATATAATATAATATAATATAATATATTATTATAGTATATTATTATTGTATATTATATTATATTATATTATGTTATTATATATTATATTACTATATTATATTATATTATTATTGTATATTGTATTTGTATTATATTATGAAATTATTATATATTATATTATATATTATTATATTATATTATTATTATAATATTATTATATTATATTATTGTATATTATATAATCTGGGATAAGAGCAGTTCAAGCAAACTGCTTCAGAATCACAGGGTTAAAAAACATTGGGTGGAAGCAAGGAAAAGTATTCTCAAAAAACTGTCCCAAGCCCACAGCATGGCCAAAAGCAGAAGATTAAGTTAGAAGGAAACATCCAAAAACAATCCGATGTAAGAATCCAGTCTTTAAACCGCTTTGAAACGGTTTAATGTAATATAATATAATAATAATATAATATAATATACAATAATAATATACTATAATAATATAATGTAATATTATTATAGTATATTATTATTGTATATTATATTATATTATGTTATTATATATTATATTAATATATATTATATATTATTGTATATTATTATTATATTATATTATTATATATATTATTATATATTTATATTATATTATATTATTGTATATTATATAATATTATTATAATAATATATTATATTATATTATTATTGTATATTATTATATATTATATATTATTATAACAACAAAAATAGCTAGAAGCACTTAATTCAGTGTATCTATCAAGAACTTAAAGTCTGTAGCAAATTGCTGTGCAAAAAACGTAATTTAGCAAATAATCCAGATTATCCTGGATATAATCTGGGATAAGAGCAGTTCAAGCAAACTGCTTCAGAATCACAGGGTTAAAAAACATTGGGTGGAAGCAAGGAAAAGTGTTCTCAAAAAACTGTCCCAAGCCCACAGCATGGCCAAAAGCAGAAGATTAAGTCAGAAGGAAACATCCAAAAACAATCCAATGTAAGAATCCAGTCTTTAAACCGCTTTGAAACGGCTTGTCTCAACCCAGCTAAAAGTCTTCCTTGGCCAGCAGCTTAAAACTATTCTAATATAATATAATATAATATAATATAATATATTAATTATTAAGAATTGATGGACACCTGTCAGGGGTGCTTTAATATACAATTATATTAATATTAAATATACAATATAATATAATATTAATATAATATAAATATATAATAATATAATATATTAATAATAATATATATATATATATATTATATTATATATTATATATATTATATTATTATTATATTATTATATTATATTACTATATTATATTATATTATATATTATTATTATATTATATTATAATTTATATTAATATATATATTATTATA